CGAAAACATCAGTTAATCGAAAAATCGATTATTCGGAAAAATCAATTAATCGAAAAAATCGAAAATAATCGGTTAATCAAAAGAAATCGATTAATCGAAAATAACCGAATATTCGTAAAGAATCGATTATTTTTAGATAATAGATTATTCGAAAATAACCAATTATTTTAAATAATCTATTATTTATTTTGATAATCACACAGCCTAGTTATACCTGACGTTTTAAGCAATTATTTTTAGCAACACAATTATTTAAATAGAAAGTTTTATTTGAGTAATTGGAATTTTATATCAATGAAAACTAAAATCTATCAAAAAAATTGTCTATTAAAACTAGCCAAAAGAGGTAAAATCTGAAAAAGCAGAAATCTGCTAAATTTGGCAACGCTGAATGAAAGACCTCCAGTTAGAGTGACCTTCACCAGGCGCAATGAATGATCGTTGGATCAAGGAAATCAACTGTCGTGACGTAATCTATGTGCGATGCACCAAATGATGATAAAAATTGCGTGATTTCAAGCAGGCACACTGTTTCACGCATCTGCTGACCTCTGTTTTTAACAATAAGCATTGGCAAAAATCTCTCGCGTTCAATCAGCCTATTGAACCGACAGACTCGATCAGCCAGAGAACAGAGGGGTACTAAAAAGTACAAGAATAATAAGGATATTAAAATTGAATTTATATTTTTAAGTTATTTAACTGGGTGTTTACTGAACAAATGAACCAATGGAGAAACTGCTCATGGTGATGAATGGGATTGCTCCATTTTTTAGAGAATGTATGTGACGTCAGCGTTTAGAGTACTGCCACCATCTTGAATTTTTGTTTAACTATACGAAAAAAAGGTAAACCATTTGTTCGAAGTAATTATTTTGAGTCAATGTTATTGTTTCAATATTTTGTATAATTTTGTTGGGTTATATTTGACAGTAAATGTCAGTCAACGACGGAACATGATAGTTGAGTGTCAGGTATTGTATGTCGTTTTGTTTGTGGTTCTGTTCCAGGTAATGAAAACTTCACAGTAGGCTATTTAGAGTCACGACTCACTGTACAAGGTGCGTTCGTTTAAATGTAGGTTTGAACGCGCTTAGGAGATTTTTCACGATCGGTTTTGCATCGATTTTTGTCAGAAATAATTTCCAAATGTAGTTTTATTGTATACAGGGTGTTATTGAAATACACGTACATATTAAAATGGGGAATAGTATGTAATGACCAAAAACGATTGGCACCAATTTTAACTTCAAATTCTAAAATTTAAATATTGGGGAAGAGTCCCCTTTTCCGACCTACTAGTTTCCATATTTAAAGAAGTAAAATAAATCGAAATTGAACTTACCCATAGAAATTGCACTGTTGCCGTAGCAAAACCAATTAATTCAAAATAAAGTTTATTACAGTAATTGTTCAAAATGCCGTCCATTATTATTTACACACACTTGCAATCGTCTTTCCAAAGAACTTTGAACATTAGAAATTAGTCTTGGATTTTGTCGTAGTTCCTCGGCTACCGCATTAACTTTATTGGTTAATTGTTCAACACTATTAATAGGTTCATTATAAACCACTTGTTTCATGTGACCCCACAAAAAGAAATCGCATGGATTTAAGACTGGAGATCTCGGAGGCCACTTAGTAGGTCCATTTCTGCCTATCCACTTTTGAGGAAATCTAATGTTCAAAAATTGCCGTACGTTTAAATCAAAGTGAGGAGGAGCGCCATCTAGTAGGTACCACATCCGTTGCCTTAATTGTAACGGTATCTCTTCTAGGAGTACTGGCAAAATATCTTCTAAAAAGTGGAGATATCCTGGCCCATTTAATCTGTTCGGGAGAACATAAGGCCCGATTAAATACTGATCTATTATGCCAGCCCAAACATTTATTAAAAATTTTCTTTGATGCCCAGTTTCCCTAATGGCGTGAGGATTTTCATCACTTCAAATATGCGTATTGTGCATATTGAACATGCCATCACTAGTGAATGAAGCCTCGTCAGTATACAATAATATTTTTAGAAAATCAGGAATATCAACACATTTTTGAATCATCCATTCACAAAACTCCACTCTCTTTTCTTCATCACCTGGATATAAGGCCTGGACTTTTTGGATGTGATAAGGATGTAAACCTTGTTCTTTAAGTGTCCGCCACACAACAAATGAGGACACTCCAATTTCAAGACCTAGTCTTCTACAACTTAATTGAGGCCGGTTTTCAACAGCTTCCAATATTTCTTCTTCGGCCGCCAATGTTCTTTGTGTTCTTGTTCTCCCTCGATCTGCATTGACACTCTCAAATTTTCCATGGTCTCTTAAATGCTGAACAGTTGAAATAAACGTACGACAGTCCGGAATTCTCCGATTTGGAAACCGTTCGCGATACAGGATTTGTTCTTGCCGAGAATTTTCTCCAGCTGCCCCATAAACCAGCACTATATCCGTTAGTTCAATATTCGTAAATAGTGGCATCGTAAAAAAATATTTAAAAGTAATCGTAACAACACTTTTTACCAACTTGGAAATGACGCGTTCGTGTTAGCCAGATTCGTAAATCAACTAAAATTTTAATAATCTATAGTTTCAAAAATGTATAGTTTAAAAACAATCATTTATCAAATATTCTAGTTTTTTGATAACGAGGGTAGTAAAAACCAGTCTTCGGAAATAGAAATTAATTCGAAAATCTTGGCAACATGGTTATTTCTTACAAGACTAGTTTTCTTATCATCTGACAAAAACTTGCATATGAATTACTGTTGATGTTTAAAATAGGTAAATAAACCTAATTTATATAGGTCATCCTCAACATATCAGTGAAGTACGTTTGTTTTAGAATTAATTTTCAAAAATTAATAACTCCCTTAATAAGGGGTATTTTTAAAAAATAATATTTTTCTACATTCAGTGGGGATCTGCGCAATACCCAGTTTTAATATGTACGTGTATTTCAATAACACCCTGTATAGATATAGTGATATGGAAACACCCAGTATATGGATTTTCAAAAAAATATTCTAAAAACAACCAAATCTCGAACTGGGCGGGTTTAAAATCTAGAAAAATTAATTTTGTATAAAAAAATAAAAAATAATTAACAATCGTAGTTTACAAAATTTTATTGATAAAGTTATTTTTTTTTACTTTTAAAGTTTAATTTTAGGTAATTCCCTTCTGGAAGTTGCTAGGACCTATTTGTAGGTTACAGTGATATAGTTTAAGAATATTAAAATACCTTTTTTCCCTATTCTATATGTATAGGATCAGCAAAATAAAACAATAATAATGTAATACAGTCCCATTTATCACTCTAGTTTCATAATTATACATTCATTTGTTTTAAAGAAAATACCTTGGTGCCAGACTTTTTCACTACCCCGTATAGAAAAACAAAAAATGTTTACAAAACTTTAAACGGCAACAATACCTCACTTTAAGAGAACATGAACAAGATCCGCTGTTGCCAATTTTACTTTCAATATTTTTCCAGTTTGCTAAAATAAGCTTTGCTATACTTGTCGGTACTGACTAAAGTGTAAGTATGACTAGTGTGTAATTTAATTTGATGGTTAGGGTTAATTATAAATATACACTGTACTTGCCTATATTAAAAGAATTGCGTTTTAATTTATTATTATAAAACAAATATGCAAGTTCAAGTTTAAAGCGTAGTGTCAACAGTTATCTTATTTTTCAATGTATGTTTAAGTATAAGTTATTTTAATAAATTATTATCCCATTCTATTTATTTAAATGGAATTTAAACCGCAAAAAATTTTATTTTTCTTATATTCGTTTTCAGCGTTAAGCTCTTCTTTATTTGCAGTTATTTTCTGGTTTATTTTTAGCCAAACTATTTGCAACTGTTTATATCTGTTAAATGTACGCGAATCGTCTTTCAGAAAGCCAAAGTGCAGACCGAATGAAATCTGGTTTTACGGTCACCCAGACAACTCAATATTGCCCTCGAGAGGGCACTTACAGAAACAAAATAAAACTTCCTTCATTATTACGGCATCATATATAGTTTTGTTACAGTGGAGATGTCATTGTATTAGTCTGTGTACCACTAAGCTTAAAGACGAACCAGATGGTGGATTTAGTTCTTGTATCTATCTGAATTAGATAACAGAAAAGTTCTTATAAATTAAATATAAATTCAAAGTACTTTTTGAGATAAGAAAAATGGAATTGAGACAAAGATTTGTAAATGAATGGTAGAGGAAACGTATGAATACGGAAGTAAATAAATTTCCCAGAGGCATAACTACTATGTGGTAAGCATGTATAATGCACACTTGCCGCCATATTGACAGAGCCGCGACTCCAAGAGCTGCATGGAATAGTTTGCTGCCCACAGCTGTAGCATATATGTCAACAGATTCTTTAGCATACTTAAATTTTCATTAAATAATGTATGACAATCGAGGGAAGCACAAGAGTCTGGACGTATAATTTGTAGATGAAGGCAACTGAAAAGCAACGGACCCAAAACAAGTATCTAAAAGGAAAACAAAGCTATGAATCTGGAAAGTCGGAAAAGAGCTTATTTATCTTCAGATACCTTTTTTGTTAATGTATTCTTAATCTACCATCTCGCCGAAGTAAGTAAAACGATTTTAACTGTTTCGAATATGGTTTCTCTGAATTCATATACTTAATCTCCCATACTATTCCAGCAAGACAGAGGGTGATGCGGAAAACAACTGTCGTAGAAAATCTAATATTGCATTATTTACGAGAAACTTGCGTTTTACGATGGGTTTATTGAAGTATCTTACTTTTAATGTCGCTGATATCAACATCATAAGAACGGTTTTTAAGAACTATCCTATTATTTATTTGGTAAAAGTTTCTGTGTTAGTTACCTACTCATAAAAAAACGAGAACTGAAAGTAGATTTTTACGTTTTATATATTTAAACTTTGCTCCTTTATAAAAATACAGAATATTTTATCAGAAAATATTAAATATTTTTTCTTTTTGTACTTACAGGTGGATCTAAAACACACGGATCAACAGCCAGGCAGTAACATCGTGAAGGTGGGAATTGATTTGTCTGAGTTCTACTTGTCTGTCGAATGGGATATATTGGCAGTACCGGCTACTAGAAACGAAGAGTACTATCCATGTTGTACGGAACCATATTCTGGTAAGAGCATAACCTTTCGATGAAATTTCAAAAAATAGTATATTATTTTATTTGGGGTAAATGTAAATCCGTCAGTATTAAATGAGTCACAAGAAGTTCCTCCGTCTTTTCATTCATAAATTTGAAAAATCCCCTCAGGAGCCGTCATTTTGTAAACGATACGATATAATTCTATAATATTTATGTCTATTTTGAAAGCCAACAGGAATTTTTTTTACTGATATAATAAAATCGTAGAATAGCTATCCTCAGATCAGGGTACGAATAAAAATTCGCTAGGTTCGATAGTGTATTTACGACAAACAAATGGTGGTTAATTTTTACCCTGTCAAAAGTGCAATCGTGTAAATCACAGTTTATTTTAGCTTTTATAAAGTAAAAAATGTAATTGGAGTCTAAGTTTTAACATATTATTATTATTATTTACATTTACTACTTACCATTTATCTTGGCCTTCATAATCACTAGAATTAAAACCTTGAACTGGAGATTCATTTGAATATGAATACTGTAACTAAATTAAATTGGGTGCTTTTCTGGGTTTTTTCTAAACCAACCTATAAGTGGGCTAACTTTTAAAATAAGATTGTTAGCGTTAGATGTACAGCAAACAAATAAAGACAGGTACATATTTTTTTAGTTATTGTATTGCCCGTACTTGTCTTTAGCTTTTATACTTACTAAAAAGTCTTCGAATTGTTTGTTTTCATTAAATAAAGACAATTAAGATTATAAAACCACAATGTCAGTCGTTCTCAAATAATTTTCATCAGATAAAAATCATGATTGCATCAGTCGGCCATTTATTGGTCACGTGATCCATAATTAGTATATCATTTTGTTGAATATTAGAAAACGTCTTCTGCTAAATGGAAAACGCTATAATCTTTAATAAATAAACTATAAATGTCATAAGTCATAAGTAAGAATCTCCAAAAATCGGGTATAGTTCTGAAGGTATGACACTAGCCGTTTATTTATTTTTTGATCCAATTGCCTTCCATTTGAGAGCGACCTAGATCGTCTATGTCGTCGAATGTATTATATATTTTTGAAAACTCCCTTCAAATTACTTTTATTTGATATCACACGATGGCATTAAACAAAATTTAACTTTTAGTTTTACCCTCCAATACCCTCCCCCCCTCCAAGTGACTTTCAAAAAAAGTATTTACGTTTGTAGTTAACGCCTAATTTGAGCCATTGATTATTTCAAATTTCAATTGTGTAAGTCAAATACATACAACCAAACTTATATGGAATCACTGTGTATTTCTGAATAAACTTTATGTAAGGAACAAATTTGGTATCCAACTTTGAGATAAGGCTTTTTTTTCTAAAAAAACATGATAATAAAGAAGAAACGACTGCTGCGATTTATTATCTTATGATTTTTGTGTTCAGAAGTAAAATCACGATCTTTCAGTAATTTTATTTCGGTCCAAAAAATGCCTTATGTTGGACTAAAAGATGTGCAGAGGAGAAAAATTATTGCTCTCATTGAACAAGAAATGCCCCAAAGAAACGTAGCAGAGCTAATAGACAATACTGAGGGTGTTGTATCGAAAACACATAAAAGGTACTTGGAACTAGAAAGTCTCAAGAACAGACCCAGACAAAGTCGTCAAAGAATCACAACTGAACAACAGGACCGCTTTGTGTACCAAATTGCTAGAAAAAATCCCAGTGTTTCTCATCTAAAGCTACAACGACAACTTCTGGAAGCTACAGGTGTGAACGTTACAGCTGAAACTCTAAGAAAAAGACTTCGCGCTCGAGGGTTGTACAATAGGAGAGAATTATGGTTCCTACCGTTATCTAGGCAAAATAAATTTGACCGGCTAAATTAATGCCTTCAACATCAAAATTGGACAATTGAGAATTGACAAAATGTTATTTTTTCGGATGAGACCAGAATTGGCCTAAGATCAAATGACCATCGAATTCGGGTTCTCATAGCTCCAAGAAGATAAGCGAGACTCCCAGTTGCCAGATATTAAAGAGGAACTGTAATGTTTTGGGGAGGTATTATGCTGGAAGCAAAAACTCCATTGTTACCACTTCAACAAACTTTAACCAATCCGAGGTATGTGACTTTAGTGCTAGAACCAATCGTTAGGCTTTGGAGAGCTGCAATTAAGGATAATTTTATCTTTATGCACGATAATACATCTTCCTATACGTAGAGTTGCTACAAAATATCTTAAAACGGAAGGTGTCACAGTTTAAGACTGGCTTGCATGTTCACCAGACGCAAATCATATCGAACACTTGTGGGACCAGTTCAAAAGAAGGGATAGAGCTCGTCGAAGCAATGCAGGAAATGTCGCACAGCTTATTGATGCAGCATTAGCAGAATGGGGAAACATACCCCAAGACAATGTTGACAATGTAATAAGGAGCATGCCAAGGCAAATAGAAGCTTGCATAAGGGCTAGAGGTGGTAACACGAATTGTTAAAATTACCAATTTTCTGTTTGTTTTTGCTTTTCGGCAATTAAAAATCTCATTTCGTTTCAGAAACCAAAACAGCACCATTGTGTTTATTTTGACAACTAATTAATTATTTTTATTGCTATGTGGGTTAATTTCATTAAAAGTCTTTGGTAAGGATTGAGTTTTATTCATAAACAAAAAATATTCATACATCTCAAAAATTATGAAAAATAATAGACGATTCCAAATAAGATTGGTTGTGTGTAGTATCTGAGTAAAACGACTGTGACATACAGACAAAGAGACCCTGAAGTGATTACATACGTGTTTCTTATTTCCAATTTGGGTACTAATGAGACAAATTACTTGAATAATTATTTGTTTTTGTATTCAAAATTTTACAGCTTTTTTATATCTTCACCAAATTTAAATTTGATATATGCTTTTTTGACGAAAGAATCCAGACAAGACGATAGAAAGGTTCTCTCTAGCGGGAGAAGCGCCTACTCGTCGAGACAAGAGAACAGTTTTTTCTCGCCCTACGAGACGAAACGTTTCGTCTCGTCTCGCGAATCACTAGATTTAGTCCTTGCCGATGGCAATACTGTTTACTGTAAATACACTAGTGCAGAGATTCCCAACAATTTTTTTTGCTATAATGACAAGGACCCCCACTAATTAATTCTTAAACCTAAAGTTAGAAATGCATGGTTGGTACCTTGTCATATCACAGTACCAAGTACCTGAAAAGAGCCACATTAAGAGATTTTATTTTTTAATTGTTTTAGAAATTAAGATTGACATTTTGAAAAAAAAGATGGAGCTTATCAGTATTGTTTGTTGTAATTTTCAATTCTTAATGAGATGAGTTGAATCTGACCTTTGAATCTATTATTTCTGAAAAGTTGGGTTCCAAACTTGACATTTTCACTCTGAAATCCGACCGCATGTCGAGAGGGCACCTGTACTTGTTTTTCATGAAGTACTTGGATGAAAATGCTTGTTTAGACCGATAGATAGTTGGAAGTATCTTTTTTAATGCCTTATCTCCAAGTTCTTTGCAGTCCTTGCGTTCTGTTGCCCAGAAGTCTGCAATTTTTTCACCATAAAAAATATTTTTCAGTGTACCACAACTAGACAGATCCACAAGTTGATCTTGTTCTTCTTCTTCTGTGAGGCTTTGGATTTTTTTCTATTTCTTGACAGCTCAAGGGATTTCGAATCCAACTATCGTCATGGTCGGGTTCAAGGAAATATTCCCTAAAGATGGTGGCTAGGCTGCATAGAAGCTCGGCTACGTCGCTTTTTATCTGTTTAGGCAAACTCTCCTCTGAAGACTCCAAGAATTGTTTCAAAGTGGGCTAGGTAGTAAATGAATCCTTTTCAATCCGTGCCGCCCAGATCTGATACTTGATAACCATAACACTAATCTTATCTTCAACTTTGAACCTATCTCATATTTACATTATTCCTTTGCAAACTTAAGTTTAACACATTCCGGTATTTAAACACATCAGCTAAGTAGGCAGTTGAACAAAGCCAAAAAAAATCAGTGAGAAAGTCTGCGTACTTGGTGTCAAGAAGAAAACACGAACCTCATCTTCAAAAAATTTAGTCGAGATCCTACCTCGAGAGAGCAATCTTACTTCTGTATGAATAAGAAGTTGTTCGTGCTCACTGTCAATCTCTTTGCACAACAAAGAAAATAATCTAGATTGCAGAGGTCGAGCTTTAATGTAGTTAGTGATTTGAACTACTTCGTTAAGTATCTTCTGCAAAAGTTCAAACAATCTTTTGGCTACTAAGGCTTCACGATGAATACAGCATTGTGTCAATTTCACCTCAGGGGCTACTACTTTTATACGAGCTTGAAGTCCTGTTTTGTTGCCAGCCATTGATTTTGCTTACGCCAGTATACTTTCTGAACATATAGAATATTACACTTATATTTGCAATATATCCTTTTTTATTCAAATGTGTCATAAAACGTCGTTTTTCGGACAGAAAACATAATCGAAAACTATTAAATATACTTGAAAGGAACTGCTGAAAAGCGGCTCTATTATCTAATCATTCTGTTTTATTTTCAGTTTAACTTTTAATAATGCTAGCAATATTTTTTTTGCTGTTGTAAAATAGTAGGCGCCATAATCTACATGTACATCAAATTTCAATAGAAGCTTATTATTAAATATAAAAGAAAAACTAAATAAACTATAAAATAAATCGATTTTACACATAAGCACACTGGCATGACAGGTAATAAAGACCAATAATATGAAGACTAGAGATAAGGAGGGGCATCGGCCTTGGTCATATTTCAAATTTCCGTCCCTATTTTTATGGAGTTCCAAAAAACTACTGTAGTTGGCGGGTGGCAAAATAACGACGTCTATTTTCTATGCAAGTCAATGGGAATTAAAGTGATTTTTGTAAAATTTAGTGAAAAGAATAAAAATAAGCTGAAATAAAGAACCTGAACAATGAGTAACACAAAACGGCAAAACAGGATTTGCTTCGTTGCGGGTTGAAAAACGGGATATAAATCCGATATAAAATTAAAT